CTTTAGATACCCACGTTATCAGCCGGCAGAGTTGACGTTTGCGCTTCAGCCGGTGGAGCACTAATCTGGCCCCCACGAAGGCTTGTGCTGCAAGTGCGCTAAACCAAAACGGGATCAGGCTGGCTCACCGTGCGCCCGGTCTGTGTGAGCCCATAACTACTGTCGCACAGGCCTGTAAGGGCACGCCCTTAAGCGTAGACCTTCATGGGGCATCAGCCACTGCTTACAATCCCATCACCAGCTGATTGGCATGCTTGGACAGTTGGCTGGTGCATAGAGTGAGAGTGAAACCGACACCATCATTAGCGCATCCCTAACTACACCAAGTCTGACGCGTTTAAATCCATTACGACAGGCTGAGAAGTGGCTTTCAGATTTGTAAAAAAATGGGATGACTCAGTTCTTCTCAGGACTAAGAGTGAGGCTGCAACGCCTCCTCCTTAATGAAGCCTTTATGGCACCCTCAATGATGTGAGATTTGAGCCCGGTACATATAGTGTGCACCAGGTCGTGTGTGGCACTCCTAGAGGGAAATTTTGACTTTCGCACGCATAAAAGTGTTGCTTAATATGAGGAGGGACAATTAAAATGATAAATGACCGTCTGGGTCCCTCTTCGAGGTCTTGTCTGTCCAGAGGAACTCCGTGTAGGTCTTCCATCTACCATGGCCGGACGTTATTTAACGCCCCAAACACGTCTTCCCCTCCTCCACGTCCTGAAACTGATCTTTCTGCCCTTTTCTCATCCGCACAAACCATCACTACCTGATAATATTAGGACTGACTCCCACCTCATTTTATGTGAGAGGACTAAAATGACTCCTATTATTTAAATGCTCACCTGTTTTAATTAACGCCGTTACCATAGAAGAGTACTGGCGTGATGAAAAGTTGTCGAAAGCAAGCGTATGATCGCTAGATTGCCTTCGAAATACATGACAAAAATACATATTTCCCTGATGTGTAGAAGCTGAGGATGGTGCACTCGTCCCCTTATCGAGGATAGTAGGTTGCGCTTGTGCGTACCAACTCGCTCTCAGCACGGTATCGGGTCTCGTATGATTGGATGGTCCCATAGAAGCCGCATTAGGGAGATGCCATTGCCATCTGGCCCCCTCCCTACCGCTGGTGGACCGAGTTATTCCGTCAGCTGCTGACCTACGAGGCCACAACTCCTGGCACGCCGCGCGGATATCACGATTTCACTGTAGTAAGAAACTTACTGCATTTATGGGCTAAAAGACACTGCGTTATTGGCCTCATTCTATTTTTTAGTCTCATGCACCCGCGACCGACCCCAAACTTCCGACCTGAGACTCGTGATAAAGGTGGACATGTTGAGTTACGATGGCCGAAAACGCAAAAGTTTCTCGAATCAGAAGTCAAGGAGGACAGAGTTAATTGGACAACTTTAGATGGAACACAAGAGCGCACAAGCTGTTCAACAGGCAGCGGTGGCCATTCTTCTCATAAGTCGAATACCAGCCCTTACGGTTGTTAGCCCCGGCGCAAGGCAAATGCACGCGCCTAGGCTTTGTCCGCCTGCAACCAATCAGCGAAGGGCACATCGCCCACTGACATTCAGCTCTCGCCATGCTGGGGCCAAGTCGCTCACTGCTCAAGCGATCGATTGACAGGCGGTGTTAGGCGGAATGCAGGTGGGACGGGTGGGTGGCAGAGCTGGCGGCCACGAGAGCGGACAGCCGCACCCCATCTGTCAGTGGGGTGGAGATGTGGTTATCCGTGTGAATCAGCGCTGACCACCTCAAAACAATTGCCTACGTCAAGACCTGACTCCCGCCAGGAGTCAAGTGGTCTTGTAGGACACTGTGCCCATGAAGGCATTTAAGATTAGACGAAGACAAATAAAATGCTTCCATTGTTTTTCGTTCAGGCTTTCTCATGACTCACCCGACCGCTTTTCTCTATTCAAAGCCGAATAGGTGATTATGATATACGATTAGTCTTAAAAAGGGAAATATTAAGTCTCACCGTCGATCATTGTACGTTCTTGAAGGCCAGTTTTCGTTTCGTGTGTTTGTTTGGATAATTCCCTCATGCTTCTAAGAATGTGTCCAGGATCATTGTCGGAACTCTTGGAAATAAGTTTCCTGTCCTTCTGTTAAACTTTATACACAGTCATGAATGCTGAAAATTTTGGTTTGGAAACCAGATAAACCATTGAAGTCAGTTTAGTCAGTTTAAGTCAGTTTATTAAGGGAATGAGGCTTTCGCCCTTGAGATCCCCATTCATATCGATAAACAGAAATAGAATCATCAATTACATCAGCAAATGCGGAAATTTAAAAGTTGGCGGTAAGTGTGAGCCAGGCGCAAACTGCCGCCGCTAAAACAATCGTGATTGTATATACAATAGTTTCTCAGCAAATGAGCATCTAGTCTGCACTTAAAGTATTCGACAGCTTCGGGAAGAACCACCACATCAGGGAGTCCGTTCCATGCCCCAATGACCCTGTGATAGAAGGCGTTCCGTCGGACGTCCGAATGAGCCGGCTTCCACTGAAGTTTGAAGGGATGACCACGCAGACGGCCAGTCCCGGCCGATTCGAAGAATTTATCAAAGTCTAGGGCGCACTCACGACCTCTGACGATCCTGTAGGTTTGAATGAGATCGCCGCCCCGTTGCCTGTAATTGCGAGAAAACAGATTTAGTTCGGTCAGCCTGGTTTCGTAAGGCAGATGATGAAAATTCTTGACCATCTTCGTAGCCATCGCCTGTACTCTTCCCAGTCGTTCATAGTCTTTCTTCAACCACGGTCGCCAGGTCTGGACCGCATGCTTTAAGTGAGGCAGGGCAAATGCCCCATAGGTTATCGATCTGCACAAATCCGCTCCTCAGCGCAAATAACACCCTTATCGCACTTTGGCTGCCCTTTGACACTGTGATGATGGTTTCAGCGAGGTCATCAGGACGCCGAGGTCTTTCTGTTCCACAACATTTGAAAGGGGCTGACTGCCCAGGAAGAGTCTGTCGTCGGGAACAATGTTTTAGCCACCTGGGCTTTCGGATCGACTCTCGAGCTCATCAGCAGTTATATGAAAAGATCAACAATGGCAAAAGGAAGAGTTTGAATCGTAAATAAGTCAGTCAGTCTGGTGTCGAGTCGCTGAGGCTGGTTAAACTTGTCTTTGTGGAAGTTAGCGATATTCTGGCTGAGTCGCAGTCTTTAGTAGCGCCTAGTGCGCTCCTGCGTTCAGCCATGCTCCACCCACTCCTCACGCCTCGATCAACTCGCTCCCGACCATGCCGAGGACTAGTCCGACGATCGAAGTGGCAGGAAGATGGTAGGTGTAACTTTAATGCGAACAGTGAGTGACCACGAGAAGCAGTGGGTCTCCCACTTGGACCACCTTCTTGTGTTCAAGTTGACATTTGAGTTGCTTTCGGTGTAAGGTGTGGTTATGTACAGAAGGTGAGCTAACTCATGAAATGTCAACCGAAATTTCGAAATCCGTTCTCGTTTCGAAAAGATTAATTAAGTATGTTTGTAAAATTAATCATCATACAGCTTAATTCTATCATGATCCAGTTACTGCGGGGTGCCGGCTTTCGAATGAATTTTATTCTGACTGCATGCAAGAACTATACTCTGCGAAAAATGACTACTTAAGTAGCATGCAATTTTCTCATTGCTTTTAGGTGCCCTTGGAAAGTTAATTATTCTTCATGGAAAACGTGCATACAAATATTCATTCTTCTACTTATTCGGTAGAAAATCACATCTTCGTCCAATTTTATATTCTAAAGAAGAATATAATTCGGTTTTAAAAAAACTTTTCTAATTCCCGAATAATTTTGAACCCGAACTGCTGTTATACTTGCATTCAGGGTTTCCAAACTACAAGTGGTATGTTTTCCGCACACAGAAAACCACACATACTCTACGGTATTAAGAGGAGACCACATGAAGTTCATAAAATTAAGCAGTGGATTCGAGAAATATTGTTAATTTTACAAGCCACATTGGTAAATGCAGACGCATGACGTTTTATGAATGGCCATTTCACGGTATTAAAAAATCGCACAATTAGAAACTTTTTTAAACCGAATTATGTTCCTCTTTCAAGTATAAAATTGAAATAAGACGTAATTTTCTACCGAATGAACAAAAGATTGAATATTTTTATGCACTTAGGCAGTAACTGGATCATTATAGAATTATGCTGGATAGTGATTAGTTTTACAACCATATTTAACTAATCTTTTTGAATTGAGAACGCAGTTCGGTTGACATTTTATGAGTTAGCCCACCTACTGTAGCCCCACCTGATGGACACAATACTGTTGGGTTAGGGTTAAGGACTGCGGTTAAGGGTTGGGGTTGGAGTTAGGGTTCGGTTTAGCTGTTTGGTTTAGGGATTAGGGCAACTACTTCTCAATCGTTCAAAGTACAACCGCGCATCCCCAATAGCTTTTCTTTTGCATACAATTGCTTGACCTCGTGGCCCTGCCTGCAAGAACCTCTATTACCACCGGTTCCGTATTACAGGTGGCTGGGGTTTGTTAACTTCAGGTGTGGCTGCATAACCACATCTGACCACATCAGATACTTGGAGATTGATCAGAAACAACAAAAACCCCGCATGGTAAAAAAGCATACCATCGGCTATGAGGACCTGAAATCCTACCTCGATGGTTTAGATGGAAAAATCCTTGCTAATCATTGGTCATACTTCATAAACTTATAAATTCAGACTTCGGAACGGTTGATATTTTGGGACCGCAAGTGACATGTTTATGCCTCATATTTCACAGTTCTATACAGTTGGCGTGGACACACTAAGGCTATCTCCGCTCTGGAAGTGGTGAACTCCTCCGAAACCCTCGTGACGACCTCGTCGGATCGCAATGTCAGGCTTTGGAAATGGGATGGTTCTTACATTGGCACTTTTGGTCAGCCAATCAGATGGGATTTGAATGATCCTGACACTTTCCAAAGTCCGATGCAGCCGTTTGATGTTTTGATTGATTCTCTCACAATGTCCGAAGCTCTGCACAGAATTCTGCAGACACAGGAAACGTCAGACGACCCGGATGCTGTTGAGCGATTAGCTCCGGAACACCCAACAACAGTGGAGTCTTCACAAACAACAAAGAAACTAGCAGCCAAGGAAGATCAATCGCAACAGTATTTGAAGAAGACGGCTGAGGTGGGCTGTGTCGCTTAATATTTATTTGCATTGTCGTAGCCAACACGGTCTCGTCCAATCAAGCGAAACCTGCTAGCAGGCTGTCGGAAATTACCAAACTCACCTAGCCAAAGACATGTTTTGTCAAACAAGCACTGCCCGGTAACCTGAAAATCTGCCAAAAGCTTTATGAATGGAGCGACATCACTTGTATCATAATTTTTACTGTTTGCCCGTTGCCATTTGCTCGATAGCCTCAGTGAAATTGCGTTTTGAACAAACCAGTGCAGGCCGCACAGTGATCGCCGTATGCGGTGTTACTCTTCCCCTAAAAATGTTCCAGTTGTTAGGATCCAGAGGCTGCATAAATTTCCGGAAGACCTACCAGGGTTATTTAACTGTACAAAATGTCTCGTAAATGACGACGTTCATCCCTTATTCGGCGTTTCCTAGAGTTATATTTTTGGGGGAAGCTCTTCGGCCAACACGTGGCGCCTACGCGGTACTAACAGACCTGCATCCCTAACTGCTACAGCTCACAGCTGCATCCTGCATAGATCAATCGGCAGGGGGGGGGAGGCAGCGGCTCGTTCCCATCTGCCTGTGTGAGGTTTCGATTTCCTACCTCCTGTTACGGGTGTTTTTTTTATTGAAAATACGCCTTTTTTGGTCCGGAGAAGCAAACAGGCAGCGAACCCGCACCAGGAAAGAAGACCAAACCACCATAACTACACACTTGCTTTCGAGCAAATGCCTAATCATGATTCGTGTTCGTGAGAAGGCGTACAGACTACACAGTGGTTTTACCCAATCAGCGATTGTGTCAATCCTCGCCTTAAGTGATTAGCTATATACGCCCTACCACCCTGTCCCCTGTTCTTTGATCTGGGGGCGGGTTTTCAATACTTGTGAAATCGTTACCCTGAGAACTGCAAAAGAGGTGGAGGCGTTCACCGGGGGGGGGGGGGGGTTGTTAGAGGTCTGACGTTTCGAGTAGTTGTTTCGTCTACCCATCTACAGAGACTGGCAATTCATGCGTTCAGCTCTCCTTATAAAGCGCACTCTGTTTGATGCGTGGTCCGCCAATGCCGCCTGTGTGGCTGCATCCGGACCGCATGTCACCGTGACCTGAGAATTGCTTTTCTTTCAATACCGATATTTTGCCTATGGTTCTCAAATAAATAAAAGCGTTCTCCAATCAATCTAAAAACGCGGTAATATTGAGCGCGAGAGCCACCGACATGTTTGCCTGCACGAGTCTGGTGTCGAGATGAAGTTACTCACCTGTTTCAGCGCCAGACTTTTGAAATGGATCGCTTCTTTAACCTTCGTCCCGACATGCAACGCCAAAACTCCCGTTTAGTTAGCAAAGAGGTGTCATCGTGGCTTCACACGCATTTGCGACTAAGGATGTCCATGGAATCATAAGAGTTATTTTGTGGTTCTGCACCACATGTCTGTTTGTCCCGGTGGTTTTTTCGGGTTGTTCCACATCGGATGGAGGCCCTAGACGCATGTCTCGCTCCTATTAGCGCATACGCATGACGTGGCCGGGATTTGAGCATCGGCCATTCACGCGTATGAACGAAAAGTTGCCAGTAGTCCATTACCTCGCCCTGAATTTGGCAGAAATCATCACTTCTGAACACTTTGTCTACAAACCCATTCTGGATGATAAAGTTTCGTCAGATTGTCCCGAAGGAAGATTCCGTTGTTATCTGGGTTAATATTCATCAATGAACCGCTAGATCCTGCCACCTCGGACAAGTTATTTCACGAGTCATATGCAGTCTCTCTATCATTGAATTTTTGGACTCATGTACGTAGTCTGTAGGATTTCGTTGATTTAAAGTCTGCACCGACTTTCAAATGCCGGCCAAGACAAGGCTAGGTATTACTGAACAGTCCAGCCATCCGACACGGAAAAACCAGGACGTTTAGTTACCATACACGTAGCTAAGACATATGATGGCAGGTCGTGAGTATACAAAGAACCGCCCCACTCCCTGAGCATCAATATTACAAAGCTCCACTGTCTCATTATTTAGGCAGAATGACCAATTGTCATTTCCTTCCTTTGAAAAAGTTAAACCCCACGTCACTTTTATTTTTGAGAAACAGGTTGCTCCTAGCTTTGAAACGACAAACTTCTTCGAGGTACATCCCGAAGTGGACTCAGTCACCACTGAGGGCAAACGGTAAGCACACAAATGACTTTTTGAGTAAATATCGTCCAATGAAATCTCTTTCCAGCTTCACTGTAGTTGGATTTCACTGGCTCCTCTAGCCGACCCACTAACATCCCCTTAAAGGCAGAGTTATTGCCTGTTACGTGGAAGATGCGATTTTTGAAAATTAGAGAGGCAGCAGAGTGGGTGGAACGAGGTGCACTAGAGCATGGAAGTGTGTTCAGAAGGCAGTGGTAGCAAGTGTTCTGCCGATTCGAGGGCAAGATCTTATTTCGTAGCCGTACCTGTTAGGGGATAGGAGCGAGGGGTTAGGGTTAGGGGGTCAGGGCTAGGGTTTGGGTTTAGGGGTTGGGTCCTGTATGACAAGTGGTTGGGGCTTGTTTACTGCAGTTACGGCTACGAATTAAGATCCGACTGGAGCACTGACATTTGTTTTTGTCAGTTACAGCGCCAGGTGCCTGATTGCGCCTGAGTTTAGTTCGGCGGCGACCAATAATTGAGGGCAAAAGTATAACTCGGTATCATGATGTCGGCAAGCCGAAGGTTGAGTCATACGCGATGAAAGCTGTCAGCTGGCAAAAGGAGGTCGATCACCAATCGCCACGCCAAGTAGACCGACACAAACCCAAATAATTGCTCAGGTTGAGTAAAACTAGAGACTGTCGGAGTTTATTAGCGAAAAGCACTTTTTCAGGGTTTTCGACAGCCTTTTTTAGAGTTACCTCGAGATGCTCTACCCGGCGTTAAGTCTGATAGGACAGGAGAATCACGACCCCTCCACCTGCTACAGATGCCTTTCTGCTGAATTCCAGGAGGTTAGTGTTAGGGTTAATAAGGACAAAGTTGTCAAAAGGTCTAAAAGCGCGTGCAATGCCAGTATCAGCAAACCATGGACCCCGCTGCCTGGTATGCGCTGGCAATTCCCTGACACCTGGTTCCCTGCCGGTAGATGCGCTTGCGCTCCCGCTGGGTATACAGGTGGCGGGCATGGCTGCTCATTCATCCTCGTTCTTCTGACTCCTGTTGGGGTGATGTTGCCGTTGATGAAATATCCTGGTCAAGTGTTTGTCGTGGACCAAGGGGTGTGGAGTGGAGAGCCCAGGTGCGTGCTCGACCGTGCCGTCTACCTCAGCCCTTCCCGCCTCCGGTCTTCTTGACTCTGTCTTGACACCGGATCCAGGTGAGGGATGAGGAGAGAGCGCGGTGTATGCTGTGCAAGCCTGCATTCACGATAAACTAATTCCTGCACAAGTCACCGTCCCTGCCTCACCCTGTTGTGGAGCACGCGGTGGACATCGTCCCCAACGACGGTCGAACTATTAGGGATAAGGTTCAAGTTAAAACACTAAAATGGGTACCCCCGGAATTTAGCACACGCCCATCTGTAGCACGGTGGAGTCCTTATTCCCTGTCTGACCTTCAGCTTTTCTATCGTACATCGTAGAATGAATATTTTACGCGTCACAACCTTACTTCCACTTCAGATACTCAAAAACCACTGTCTCTGACTCCTAGGAACACTACCTCTCTCTCTCTCTCCATCCCCACTTTTCCTCTGGTACGCAGGAGCTCTCAGTGATGAATGTTTATTGAGATTGTTAACTACGGTAGCCGAAAAATCCTCAAATTATGGGTTCCCATGACTTTGTTGCGAACGCTAAAGACAGAACCGTCAATCCCAGACTATAAAAATCAGGATAAGACCAGAGTTATGGAAGAATTAATAATCAAAAGCCAAACGACCTGACAATCCCACTCATGCCAAGCGCGTCGCGTCGAGTTGTGTTCATTCCATTCAGTTAAACAACCAGTAAGTTCAAGAATGAGGAACAGGTAGGGAAAGGCAAGATTGTCTGGCGCCTCGGCACAGTACCCCCCTCCGAGACCGGAGGCCGGCGAAAACGACGCCGAAGGATGTGTACAGGTCTAAAAGAAATGCGTGACCAACCGATCAGGAAAGTGTACATGACGACCACTACGAGTGATATATACAGGGTCCGTAGAAGAGTGAATAAATCCGGTGGCGGAAGTGTTGGAGTTGGTGGTGGCAGTCGGAGATGGCGGACAGGAGGGCAGAGGGAAAATACGGGACGGTGGAATAGAGGCTGCATGGGGGAAAGCAGAAGGTACAGGACCACAGGATTCATCCGGAGGAGTGTCAGGGACGGCAGCCTTGAGGCGGTCCACACTCACGACCTCTTCACGATTGTCGCGCTGAATGCGGAAAGTCTTCGGCCCGCGAGAGAGCACCCGAAATGGGCCGTCATAGGGCGGTTCCAGAGGCCGGCGGACTCGATCACATCGAAGGTAGACGTGAGAGCACGTTGCCAAGTCCTTCTCGAGATAAGACGGAGAGGCGGAGGACCTGGGAGGAACTGGAGAAAGTGTCCGCATAAACTGCCGGAGACGATGCAGGAGGTTGGTAGGATCCTCAGCTGCACCTTGAGGGGTTGGCGAGATCATCTCACCGGGGAGTCGGACGGTGGAGCCGAACACCAGTTCAGCTGCGGAACAGTCAAGGTCCGGCTTGAGAGCGGAGCGGATGCCCAAGAGGACCAGGGGAAGGTGATCCGTCCAGTTCTCCGGATCGGCCGCGGCGCGTAGGGAGGCCTTCAGCTTGCGGTGAAACCGCTCGACCATCCCGTTAGCAGCCGGGTGATAGGCTGTCGTCCGGATGCGGGTACAGCCTAAAAAGGAGAGTAAAGACTGGAAGAGATTAGACTCAAATTGGGCACCACGGTCAGTCGTGATTGTGGAGGGTGCACCAAAGATAGCAACCCAACGACTGAGAAAAGCCTTGACCACCGTTGGAGCAGCAATGTCAGGCAGGGGAATTGCTTCAGGCCACCGAGTGAACCGATCCACACAGGTGAGGAGATAGGAACAACCATTGGACAGAGGCAGGGGGCCTACAATGTCCAGGTGAACGTGGCTGAACCTTGCACCAGGGCCGGGGAAGGTACCAATGGGGGCCTTGTTGTGCCGCTGGATCTTGCTCCGTTGACAGGCAATGCAAGCCCGTGTCCATGCCTTCAGGTCCTTGTGCATACCAGGCCAGACGAAGCGGTCGGAAACCAGCTTGTCGGTTGCTCGACTCCCGGGGTGAGACAGATTGTGCAGGGAGGAGAAAACTTTGCGGCAGAGAGATGGCGGCACAAATGGACGATGGGAAGGGGTGGATACGTCGCATAAAATGGTGCCGTTGCCAGTCGTCAGTGGTAGTTCCTGGAGTTGGAGTCCGGAAACATCCTCATCACAGGGTGGACCGACACGGCGTTGTTCAGCGGCCATCTCAGCGAGGTCTATCCCGGGTGAAAGCTGAAGATGAGCAATAGAGGGCCTGGACAGTGCGTCAGCCACCTCATTCCTTGACCCGTCAATATGGCGGATGTCTGAAGTGAACTGCGAAATGTAGTCCAGGTGACGGATCTCCCGGGGGCTTAGCTTGTCAGAGTGGGAATGCATCGCAAACGTGAGTGGCTTATGATCAGTGAAAATAGTGAACTCTCGACCTTCAAGTAAATGCCGGAAGTGCCTTACGGCAAGATAAGCGGCGAGAAGTTCACGTCCGAATGTGCTGTAGCGGGTTTCTGCTTTGGATAGTTTCTTGGAGAAGAAAGCCAAAGGCACGGTAGAATCCGGCAGACTTTGTTGAAGAACCGCGCCAACAGCAACATTGGAGGCATCGACCATCAAAGATATGGGTGCATCAGCGTGAAAGTGAGTCAGGAGGGTGGCGTCAGCCAGAAGGTCTTTTACCTGCTCAAATGACGTGAGTGCGGCTGATGTAAGTTCAAAGGTGCGTTTGGGACCTGAGAGGAGATTGGTCAGAGGTAGGATGGTATCGGCACAGTTCGGGAGAAACCGGCGATAAAAATTCACCATACCAAGAAACCGTTGCAACTGACGCTTCGAGGTAGGGGGTGGAAAGTCCCGAATGGCGGCAACTTTTGAGGGAAGAGGCCGAATGCCGTTTGAGTCTATCAGGTGACCTAAGAACTCAAGAGAAGTGGCTCCTAGGACACATTTGGAAGGATGCAGGGTGGCACCAAACTGCTGAAATCGGTCGAAAAGCAGGGTATGGTGATGGAGATGTTCCTCCACATCTCGACTGGCGACGAGAACATCATCAATATACGCATAAACAAATGGAAGGCCGCGTAAAACACGGTCAATGAAACGTTGGAAAGTTTGTGAGGCATTTCGGAGACCAAATGGCATACGAAGGAACTCGAACAAGCCAAAAGGAGTCGTCACTGCCGTTTTGGGAATGTCCTCAGCCGCAATCGGAATTTGATGAAAAGCCCGCACCAAATCGATCTTCGAGAAGATGGTTTTGCCGAAAAGGGCTCCAGCAAAGTCCTGAAGATGAGGAACGGGGTACCGATCGGGCATAGGGATATTGTTTAGGGCTCTATAATCGCCACAAGGACGCCAATCATCCGTATTTGGTTTAGGAACCATGTGCAAAGGAGATGCCCAGGGACTGTCAGACTGTCGAATAATCCCTAGTTGCAGCATGTGGTCAAATTCTGCTTTAGCAGCCGCAAGACGCGCGGGAGCAAGACGGCGGGGACGAGAAAAAACGGGAGGACCAGTCGTTTTTATTTGATGAACAATATCATGGGGAAATGAGGTGTCAGAAAAATGGGGCTTAGTGAGGGTAGGATATTTTGCTAAAAGTCTACGAAATGGACAGTCAGGGTTTGGGTCAAGGACGGAGAGCTGGTTAGAAACTGAGGATGGAGGAAATCCTTTGACAGTGAGGGTAGTTGCGCGATCAAGGAGGCGAAGTTGTCTGCAATCCACCAGAAGGTCAAAGGCGGCCAAAAAATCAGCACCAAGGATAGCAGTGGGAACATCAGCAACCACAAATATCCAGGGGAATAATCGCCGGAGACCAATATCCAGGGAGAGGGATCGAAATCCAAAGGTTGTAATGGGGGAGGAGTTTACGGCCTGAAGGTAAAGACCATGGTTTGGGCAACGTCGGTCGGCTGGCGTGGGAGGGAT